GCCACAACCAAATTTACTAGTGGGACAATTGTGCTGCATGTTTTGTCGTGTTAGGGCATTAACAAGAAGACAAAAGCAAAGAAAAACAGGTAACCAGTTCATCATTTAATATATTAACAGGGTAAAAGAATCTCTTTAAAAAAAATAAAAAACTGTTTCTAGATACACAGATTATCTATTTGTGCAGGATATATTTCATGGCATATAATAAAAGAAAGAGAATACATTTGAATTACACTCATATAACAAACAATAACGGAAACATTAACGAAGAAAAACAAGTCAAAACTTTTTAAAAACCTGAGAATATGTGGTAATACTGGTGGCCAGTTTTACTGTCAGTAATGCTACACAGTGTAAAATGAGATGCATTCTGTCAGATAAAATATGCATAAACACAATCAGAAAAAAACAAATTCATGGGCTTTTAGGAACTTCATAGGCTGCAGCTAGGATTTCTTTCCTTAATTTCTAGAATTATTTTTTCGAGTTTAATTTCTATGGAGGTTAATTTTAGAACCCTGACCGTTTTTGGCAGTTCTTTAAGCTGCTCTACAGAAGCTTGGGCCAGCCATGCTCTGATCTGATTCAACAGAGGGCCTCTCTGCTTTGGCAGGGCTGAGTCTCCGGGGCAATCATCCTCTCGCTGCTTATGGAGGACCCTGTTCCAAAAACAAAAAAAAGAGAAAGATTTTTATAATCACATTTGTTAAGAGAGAAACAGCTAATTGAAGACAGTGTTATAGCAGAAGAAAGTGTAATCTCACCTGTGAATAAATATTTTTAAATCTCTTTTTTGCATCCTGTTCCCACTAAATAATGCAGACAGGACTGCCCTGAGGTCATCACCTGTGGAAGAGAGCATGATTGAATTCAAGTCTTAATGTCTTGTCTCGTCAACTTTTTGAGTTCTAAAAGCTTTTGAGATCTGGTAACATTCATCTAGACAAAGCATCCACACCTCCGTTTGCCAAACTCTCACAGCTGCCACAAATTGTGTCATGCAACGCTGAGCCGCGAAGGAGCACGCTGGAGCCAGTTGGGCAATGCTTATGTTTTTTACACTGATCCAACATGGAAGATGAAGCAGAAAAATACCCCTTGGGGCATTTTTCGCACACTGTGTCATTTATTGGAGTACCTGCAGGAAACAAAAAAAAGCAAAAATGTGTTAAGTTGTGCAGTTATTCAGACGTGATCTTTTGTTTCACATTGGGTGCTGACTAGGTATTAAATGCAATGTTACCTTTGGTTTGAACTCCAAAGCCAGGGCCACACTCCGAGTGTCTAAAACAGTAGTCGTCCATCATGTAAAAGCCAGCTTTACAACGACAGGCTCTGTTCGTGGTTGCAGAGCACTCCGTGTCCACCTCCTGGTTTTGTGTGCAGAAGACGTTGCAGTAGAGACACCTGGGCAGGTAGTTCCAGAGTGCTGTGTAGTGGCCGTTAGGGCACGGCTCACACTTTGTGGGGGTGTTGGCAGTGCAGTGAGCAGCAACATAAGTGCCCGGTCGGCACTGATTGCACTCACGTGTTCTGCCTGTTAACCGGTCTCTGTACTCATAGGTGGGGTCTGCTGAGGTGAAGCAGAGAGTAACAGCGAGCAGGAACAGAAGTGGCAGGGAGAGCTGGGGGGAGAAGGATCAAAGCATAAGAAATGAATGGAAACCTGAAGCAATTCTTTTCAAGGGGGTCCTGCTCCCCTACATTTTTCTCTTTCTACCTTAGCATCTCCGTCTGTCCCCTTTGCATACCCTCCAGCATAGCATTTATGAATGGACTTACAGATCTCAGCTTTTTTCTTTCCTCGCTGGCTGGCCTAAAGTCAACATCCTTCATTCTTTGATACACTCTTTTCTAATACTTTTGATTTTGTTCCCTGCTCATGCCACCTTCTTCTTATAAAACTTTGGTCACCTATCTTGAGCACGGCTCTTTTCCTGGAAAATGTAACCCTCAGTACATCTACTCATCCACCTTAAGTCCGCCAACTCCTTGTATTAAGATGTTTTTAGGCTTACATCAACATGTTGGCTTTGCGAACTCTGTCATATAAACATACACTTTTTGTATTCTTTTAGAAATTACCAACTGTAAATCTAAAATATGATAACTGAATTTTGCAGTTACTGAACAAAGTACCATCAACCTTTTTTTAAACCAGCAGAGTAGATTTCTTAGTTGTATATACATATAGGCAACCTATTGTTGAAATAAGTCAGGTTCAAATTTAAATCTAAATAATCATTGGTTCAAGCGGAGGATTAAGTCTCAGTCAGAAAGCTCCCATTAACATACTCACCATGTTCATGATGTTGTAAGTGCTGCAAAAGAGGCTTTGACATCGGGACCAGATTTATTATATATTGCCTGTGACGAGGAACTTGCGTAGGCAGGTTCCTCGTGTGGTCTAGTGAGCTGAGATTGTTAAAGGTCAAATTACTTCCCATGTGATTGAAAGTAGAGATGTTAATAAAGTTGTTAAGGTTACAGGTGACTGTTATGTGTGATAAGTAGCAGAGAAATATAGCCCTTATCCTAGTCCCATAGAAAATCTGTGCACAGATTTGAATAGGCATGGGTGACCATGTGTGCTTCTAACCCTCAGTCACATTTTTTTGAGTGCGCAGATCGAAAACCAACTGGATAGAATAGAATAGCAAAGGTTATAGTAGAAGTGGTCACACAATGTGCACCTTAGAAAAATGTATAAAAATAACAGATAGGAAAATAAAACAAATAGAGAATTGTACTGTACAGTGTTTTATAATATACTACTCTGTATCTAGAGAATAAAAAATCAACAACAGTTGTGGACATTTTTACAGTAATGGATATGTAAAAAAATAGGAGCAACATCAGAGATGTGCAGAAAATGACCGCAGCATGTTATTTAACTAAGACAGATGCGCCTGCAATTAGTTCAGCTGCAAAAATATGACACAGGTGAACTGTATTAGAAATTTTTTTGTACAGAAATAATTAAAACAAGTACATTAACCAAGCTTTAAAATATAGAATATTCTGACGAGACATGAATAAAACATGCACACAGCCCGACCTGCACTTAGCAGCTTTATTGCTTGCTTTATCACTTCTTTAAACGATCAGGTGTCATATGATGGGGTATAGGTAAAGGTCAAACTTTAAATCAAACTAATCTTTTTTCTCACCATTAGTGGATTAGGGTTTGTAGGTAAAATATTTCAAAACACTTTAAAACAGAAAATAATTTGACTAATGTGATGTTTTTAAATAAATGGTTTTAGGAAACATATGTTTTGCACAATTTGATAAATTCCTGCCTGCTGATTTTTTCAGAAATGTCTCTTCTCTTTAATATGCATAGCTGCACATTTTTTACTCCACTTCGTAATTTTTGAAAAGCCTGAATGATCAATTTCGCTTACTGATGTAAATTAGGTCGATAAGAGCCCCGTGTTCATTGAAGAACTTTCTGTGACTCAGACAATTGTAAATTATGACAATTTCCTTAGTTAGAAAAAAAATGATTATGACTCAGACAGATACGCATGTCATGTGTTCCTGTTTCCACTGAGTGCTACACTACTGAAATAATGCGTCAGAGTTGAATGAGGAAACTGATTCTCTTCTTAGCTTTGCATTTATGGTACTTTATTTTATATGCAAAAATCAAATATCCTACAAAAATGCAATGAGATAAGTTGCGTTTTAGATAATAACAGGAAATGTGATTGTTTTTACATCAGAACAAGCTACCTTTCAAAAGCTGCAATAATAAAGTTCTCTGTCATGAAAATTTAAAGTTGTTGGTGCTCATACCCTGGCATAAGACTATGATGCTGAATGAAGTTGGTCTGAGTGAGCAAGTAGATCTAAGTTAGAGGTGTCTTTCCCCCTGGATGCTGACACTGGTGGAATAGAGGTTGGAGGATGAAGGGGACCTTAGGGAGTGAGGTGAAGATGGGGAAGAAGCCGTGGTGGGTTGCTGTTCAGCCAAAGCACAAGAATCTCTGTCGATAGACCAAATCTTTCAAACCAAAACCTGTACTCTCCTGACAGACCTCTCTTGCCGCAAGCAGTAACCAAGGTGGACCATCTTCCCAATCCTTACACAACTCCATACAGTATGAGCTGAATAATGACTTCAGGGTCTGAATATCTCTATGGCACATTGGCTCTGTGAATAATATGCTGATGCCTGATTATGCCTGATTTAAGTTGTTTTAGGACTTGGCCAAAGAGGCTAAAGAAAAAAGGGATTCTTGGTCACTTTGGAAGACCTTAAGAATACCAAAAATTGCAATTACCTGAGACAATACCTTAAAGGGAAAGTCCGGTTACTTTCAGAATACAAAGTTCTGAAAGAATTTTAAGTATGAAATTATTATATACTTTTCATTAATTATAAATGTTTTTAATTAAGAGTAATTTCACCTGAATGTGCTTTACAGGAGACATCTGTTTGTCAAAGAGCACTACTGTCACCTACCATTTTTTTTTCATCCATGATGGCGACGACCAGTGCACTGTGCAAAGCAGAAAGTAAGGGATTAATGACATATTTTTTCTTTGGCCA